ATAAATAATTTTTAAAAAAATCAGGCATGCAAGTGTTGCTGAGATTCAACGGGAAAGGTGTTTGAGGACTGTAAAATGTGGAGATAATATTATGACATCATATCATAGACAGAACTTATTTGGTAATAAGAATAAAATTAAACAGGTACTTTTCTTCCACCAGGTACATGTAAGCACAAATGTGGCTGACTGATGCTGACCCAGGTGTCAAAAAGAAGCAGCAAAAGAGAAGTTTGGTTTTTTTTTTTTTAGTGCTGAAACTCAAGAAAATCTAGAAATTAAAATTATTGGTGTTGAGAATATTACCAAGTCACATTCCAATGAGGGTGAAATGCAGTTCTTCAGTTGAAAGTAAAACTTGGTTGATCATTCTCATTATTGGCAGTCAACAAAAGACAAAGTATAAATTTAATGACGCGAGAAGAACACCACAAAAAATGCCATGTGTGTCATTGCAGCCGTTAGCCAATCAGAGCAGAGTTGTGTCAACACAGAAAATAATCCTAGCTTTTGCAGCCAGAGAGCAGAAACGGTAGCGTCTGACGTAATCTGGCTGCTGCAGTGTTGCTCCAGCAACCTATTAATGTCGCATGACATGGTGACGTTCTTCAGTGCTGGCAAAATAAAACCAGCATGTATTGCTCAAAGACGATGAGTTTTTAAATTTAATTAATTTAAAGAGCATAAAAAAATGTAAATCAAAATCCTAAGCCATTTTTACTGACTCTCACTGTTTTAATAATGTCAAGAGAAGAAAGGAAGAATCACAGAAGATAAATGGTGATCACAGCAAAGAGATTAAATCACCACAATGTGGAGCAGCTCCTGTAAGAATCACTGAATCTTTGGAACTCAGAAAGTTGACCCTTTCAAAAATATTTCCTCCCCTAAAAGGTGAAGTAAAAAGTAACTCACAGGAACGTATTGGATAACAATTAGCAAAAAAGATTGAGAAATTTAAGCCTAGTTTTCAAAAAGAGGACACTTTGGTCTCTCTCTTAAAGTCTGGAGGACGTAGACACAGACCAGGACCTCTGGAGTCAGGACAGGACATGCTTGACATGAACTAAATACATCAACATGTTCCAGAGAAATTTAGCTGGTGGGGCAATATTTTTTTATGTGTGTGGGGTGGGAAGGCACATCAAAACAGGCTTTTAATTTAATGTAAAAACAAATGTTTATGTGACCTTTCAAATAAAATATTTATTATTAATACAAAATAAACAAAAATGATGTCAAATAATAGGTAGAAAATGCTGAGTGCTGGTGCTCAGATCTGCATATATATTAGCTCATACTTTCCAGAAATCTAAGAATGTAATGACTCCAATCTCTGAAGTTTGTTTTTTTTATGCAAACTCATCTACTCAAAAGTAGCAATAGTTCGTAGTATTACTTAAAAGTAAAAAATGCAGTGCAGTAAATATACTCCTGCAAGTACATTTCCCCCCAAAAGTTACTAAATTGTGCAACCTTTACTATCCACTTCTGATCAAATAAAATTAGTAGTCTTTTCTTGCCAAAACACTTTAGTGCAGCTAACTCACTTTCTTCACCAAAAAACAATAAGAGTTGAATATGTGGACATTTCTTTTTAAATAACTGAATATAGTAAACTGTATTTTAGTAGGTATTTTTGCCTTTGGAACTGCCTTAGTTCTTCATGGCAATGATTCAACAACGCATTGTAAATATGTCTTAAATATTTATGTCCATCTTGACAGCACAGCATCACATGTTGCTGCAGATTTGACGGTTGTAGATCCATGATGCAATGCTTTAGTTTTACCACATCAATAAGGTCCTCTACTGCGTTAAGATGTGGTGACGGTGGGGACCACAGTGACCTCGTCAGGTTTCAGAAACCAGTTACAAATTATCTGTGCTTTGTAAATGTGTCCATTATCCTGCTGGGAATAGCTATCGGAAAATAAGCATTCTATGATTTCAGAGGTATGGGCATGTTGGGCAACAATATTTAGGTAGTTTGGAACACAAATGATCAGTCGATGGCCAAGGGACACAAAGTCTGCAAAAACACCCACAATAAAAGACACCACCAGCAGCCAAATCCTTGGAAAAGCATCAACACTTCAGGGTGAACTAATTCCAGTTAATTACCAAAATGTCACCAATGAAATCAAGACTCTCTGAACCAGGCAGCATTTTCCCAGTCTATGTCCACTTTTGGTGGGTCTTTGTGAATTATATCCTAAGTTTCCTGTTCAAAGCAGCACCCGGCACCCGGTCTGGTCTTCTGACGCTGTAGCTAATCTGCTTCATCTTTTTGTCCATTAAGAGATGGCATTCTGCTTGTAACGAGTTGTTATCAGCAGACCAACAGTCTCTGAAATAGTCCTACACAGTCTGTGCCACATTCAAAGTCGCAGATCTCTGCTTTTCCCCCTACTTTTAGACATAAACCAGTTTAATAAATCTCCTTGGTATGTGAGAAATGGTGACAAGATTTTTTCCACCAGGCTTTAGTCATTTGTTCTAAATATTTAATTGAATGAAATACAAAAATAGCCACAGCGCTTCTGCTTTGCTGACGTGCGTCTTGGTGCTGACTGCTCCAATTGCAGTTTGCTGATGTGACGTTTATACTGCCATTCTGACAGTATTGGCAGCATGAAAACTTTTGTTTGACTGGTTGATGGCAAACATTGCATTGATAAATTTATATGCTAATGCAACTATACTCTTTTATTTTGAAAACAAGAATATCACTTAAACAGTTTCCTCACCAGTGTACAGAGTATAGAGCTGTCAGGTTCCTTGGTGTCAGAGTAAGAAAGAAAACCATGCTCCCTTATTTCCCACCCTTCTACAATGAAACCTGAGCTAGGTGGCAAGACCATCCTTAGGACTTGAGTGTGTGTTGGAAAGAAAGAAGATCTTGGTTGTCACGTTGAGTGTTTGGGTCACATGGAGGTAACAGGGAGAACAAGGAATGAATTTAGGTGCTAAGATAAGAGCCCTTAATGTCAAATCTCTGGTTACATAAAAGTCGCTACACCTTATTGCCCCTGTCACACTCCATCTCTCTTAGATAACAGAACTCAAGTCTGCATTGTGGCCTAGATTACCAGGCCTGGGCTGTTTCAGAAATCTCATTTGGGGGAAGAAAAAAAAATACAGAAAAGCAGGCAATTAATAGCAATGAGGACGCAGGTTTAGAAAAAGATGCAGAGAATTTTCCAACAGTATTATAACAAAGAGCATTCTGGTTTGAAAGAGACGTTAAAATGTGTACAGGTTAAAAAAGGAAAATGTGATGCTTGCTGTCCTAGATTTCCTAGTATTTGCAGACACTAAAAACTGTCAGCTCATATCTCAACAGACTGAAGTCTCAGGTTTATTTCACATCAACAACAATAAAAATAGAAAATCTTTAAAAAAAATTCCCAGAAGAGTTCAACAACCAATTAAACACGCTAAAGTACAAAATCTATTTTTACTGCCTGTGTTTTTCTAAAGTTTGCATTAGCCCGTTTACCCTCCTCACAGTCGCACTTGTTCCACACACCTCAGAGCAGCGAATATTTGACTGAAGATTCACAACAACGCAAGCGACCAATGTGCGTAATTCTTCTGCCTTTGTCTCTGTGCTTGCTAAAAGGAAAAGTGTAAGAAGCACCATCCTCCTGTTGGACGTGTGGTTTACTGACACCCACGCGAAAGCTGTCCGGAACACCAGAGAAATGGAGGGCACTGCTCAAAAACACTCTGACAGAACACAGAGACCAAAGTCATTATCTGACCTGGGTCACTGATTTGGAACGGGGAAAAAAATCATGCATTTCTAGATTTAAATGCTGTTTGCAAGAACATTTGAAAAGGCAACATTTATCCATGCTGATTACTAAAATCACTATGGGGGAAAAGGCACAAAATAGGTTTTGTTGGGTTGGGGAGAAGGAGAATGCTAGTGCAGATGTGATTCACATGACAGGATGGCTAAGGAACCCATATGCTCCTTGTATTTAAAGTGCTCTAGCATCATGATTGCCCTCACAAAGGAATTAGGTTTTTCAGATTTTTCCAGAGAGCAAAGGACAGTCCTCAGCTGGTTTAGCAGGGTTCTAAATCACTACAAAAATTAAGCATGTTGTCCTATTACAAATATATTTAAAGAGCATGTTTATTCTGAAATAAAAAAAACAAGAAAAATTTTAAAATCGCTCCTTTTCTTCATCCGAGCTTTGCAACTGGCTGCCCAGAAACATCTGAGTGATGTTTGCGGCTTTCTCAACAGAAGATAAAAGTACTACTATTTAATGGTCAAAAACTGCAGGCAAAAAAAAGTATACTTGATAGAAGATGCAAACATAACAAACGGAAATGAAACACAAAGATAATAATTAAAGAAATTTCAAGATATTCTAACTTTTAACTTTACCTGTACATGCTAAATGAAAAACCACATTCTATCTGTTGCTTGCAATACAATACCTCACTGTGTTTTAATAGAGGTAGAAATCCACCTATTTTAAAGGTCTGACATTGTTAAATTTGTATGGACATTCCAAGGTGAAACATCCACTTAAAACCATAAAGTATGACCATTTCTGTTCCAATCAGGAGGGAAACCGAAACACTAACAAAAAAATTGGTTTATAATGGCATGAAATCTTAACTTCCAAATACAATGCTCCACAAATCTGTAACCAGTGATGAGCTACACTGGAGCATCGCTTAGCTAGTCATCATCACCACCCATAATCAACCAGTGCTGAAAACATGTAGCGTTTTTCAAACAAGGACAGATGACAGCAGTGCAAAGAAGGGTAGTATTTAAAAGTGTTGAGCAGTAACACATGGCATGGCCATTATGACTGCTTATGCTTTCTCTACATTCAAAAGAAATTAGATTTATCATTTAAGTGTTTAATGTTTCTAAACGTAATTCAGGATTAACATTTTCTCATTTAAGGTGCAAAAATGGAAGCTACCAACACTTCTGACTCTGCTCAAAGACTCAACCTCAATTTTTCCCACGTGAAAGACTTATGCATTTTTAATGTAACAAAGGATATCTATTCATATGCTAGATATTCAGCAATCGTCAAATTTTAATATGATTGAAAAGTTTATGTACTCCAGTAAGTCAGTTCACTAATTGAAACACATTTTGTATATTAATAACTCAGAGACTGATAAACTTAAGCTTTTGTTGCTGTTAATTTTGATGATTTTCCACTTTGAGCTATTGAAAACATGACATGTAGGCGGTATTAGAGCAATTAAAAACCGTGCAGAAATGTGAGCTTAATGAAAAGTGTGTTTAATACCTACTGGAACGCATATTCTAATTTATTGAATATGACTATATCCAGCAGAGATGACATTATGACAGTCTGTCTTGCAGGCAGTACCGTCTTTTTCTGCTGTTGTGTTTATATTTCTCTTCGCCCTTAAGGTCCAACATCTCTGCACCCTCCACACAAATGCAAGCTTATCTCTAAGAGACATAAATACGCAAAGTCACACACAGATCCACAATTGATTTTAGCTCGGAAACAAATGTGTAAATCAGCAGGAAAATAATTGAATCCCAAAATAACTTCTTGCTCCCTCCTCCCAAACCTAAACATCGACAAAGCCAGTTCAATAAAGTGAGCAAGGAGAAATCCAGCTGAGGGATCGGAGGGTACTCTGCCTGAAAACACAGTAGAATACACATAAAATGCTAACATGCTCAAGGACTTCACAAAGTGAACAGAGTCATTTTACATACGAGTCCTGAGACAGATCCTGTTAACCACTACATTTTGCTGCAGCGATGCCTTAATGGGACTTTGTGAGATGGCTCTTAATCCGCCAAGTCCTGTGGTGCTCTGTACACACAGGTACATTCACATGTTACATGAGGTTTTAATGGCCTAAAAATAGACAGGTGGGCAGGGAGCAAAGCACACACAAAAGAGACATCTGCATTTGCACAACAGGTTTACCAAACCACTAACATGCACCTCACCTGCTATAAAGTCTGTCGCTGTCAGAGCAGTTCGTACTCAGACCAATTAACTCACTGTTAACAGAGAAAAAAAACGAATGGTGACATAACTTAAAATTTTTTTTTAGATGAGTTAAAAATGAAAGAAAAAACATAACTATATGTGAAAACAACTACTGACAAGTAGGATTAGAAAAAGAAGAATTATTTCATATCCTTATTTGAAACATGACTTCAAGAAACCAACCATTAGGACATCAAAAACTAACTGGTTTAGGAATAAATAATCCATGATTATTCACACATCTTTCTAACCTCTCAACTTCAAACTGACTTTGGTTCGTGTGTGCGTTATCACACTGCACTCTACTGGTTACAAGAGATACTGCAGTTCTTTGGACAATCAGTATAGAAACACTCCTAATTTTTTTCATTCTATGATTATTTGTCTCATTTTTTCACAGGTTCAATAAGTTAAATTTAAGGATGTTTTGATTACTTACACCGCTGTCTATAATAATGAAGTGAAGAAAAATTGCACAGGAAAAATGACCTAGTAATGACCATTAAAGAGGCAGCTGCTTATTTGTGGAACCCACATTGTATAAAATCAGCACATTCCCGGCATATCATCAACTGGTTCGATTCCTGGTCTCAAGCCATTTGAAGCATGTCTTCCTCTGATCTCTCCACCCTTTTTCCTGTCAAGTCACTGCTCATTAAAGCCCATTAGGGCTAAACCAATCTTAAAAAGAAAAAGGACTGATTGATCCAGACTAAAAAAAATCAATAAAAAACCCCACCTATTATGTCTCAAACATACTTCCATGTTTACTAAGGTCAGACGCACACAGATTTATATCCAAGTAAAAACATTTAGAACTTGCTTCCCATAAAGACTTACTATTTTCTCCATCTACATCCATATATCTAAACACTTCTAGCAAAGCACAAGTTGACTGCAGCTGCAATCACTTAACACACATTCAGGTTTACTGATGGGACACTCCTGAGGGTTTCAATTAGACTGTCACCAGATAATGATTCGCAGTCATCATCACCACATCAATGCAGGTGAAAAAGGACTGTATTGACACAATATCCGATTGAAAACTAGATTTTATGTGCTACAACTTCACACAGTGGACGACAAAAATATATTTAGACAGTCTAGACATGTAATTCAGTGACTGAGATACATATAATAATAATAATAATAATAATAATAATAATAATATTCTCTCAAAGGCCATTGCATAATCTCCAGAGGGGTGGGAACATTGTGAAGAAAGTGAAAAAATGTGAGTTAATTGCAAATAATATGACTAAATGTTTCTAAGGTCATCCACCATTGACCTTTACATACTAGATCACATGTGTCAAACTCAAGGCCCGCGGGCCACATATGGCCCGCCATGTCATTTTATGTGGCCCCTCCCCCGCAGCATTTTATAGGCCAATGATTCACTTAAAATAGGTTTTGAGCACGAA